CTTCACTGTCTGGTTCAAAACCGGACACCTGGCAACTCTAGTAAGATGAGGGCCTAAAACATAAGCTAATGCAGCACAGGCCTGGCCTGAGGAGCTGAGGCCTAACTAACAATGGATAAAACATGGCTAACAGAAAGCAAAGCTAAGCTGTGAGCAAGAGGCAGGTCCTAGCTCACAGAACTTGGCATAAAAAGGACTGAGAGTGCAAAACACTAAGGGCTCATCTAGACTATGCTAAAATATCGAAAGAGGATATGCAAATTCCGTGGGCATTTTCATATCTTCTTCTGATCTCACTTTTGAAAGCGGAGCTTTCAAAAGTGAAAGTAGTCTGGATGCATTTTTTTCAGCAACCCCCCCCCCTTTTTCGAAAAACTGCATAAACCTCATTTTTTGAGGAAGAGCGCCTTTTCGAAAAAGGGGAGGTTGCCGAAAGAAACTGCGTCCAGACTACTTTCACTTTTGAAAGCTCTGCTTTCGAAAATGAGATTGGAACAAGATATGCAAATTCTGCAGGAATTTGCATATCCTCTTTTGACACTTTAGCGTAGTCTAGATGAGCCCGAAGGCTATATCTACACTGTGCCCGTTTGGGCAAGAAATATGCAAATGAGGCAAAGCATAGAATATTGCCGCACCTCATTTGCATAATTAATGAGGCTCCATTTTTGCGCAAGTGGCTTTTGTGCAAGAGCCATTCTTCCACATTTTTTTCAGGACGAACAGCTCTTGCTCAAGAGGGGTTTTTTTCACAAAAAGGAGTCGTGTAGACCGCTCCTTTTTGCGCAAAAGCCTCTTGCACAAAAACAGAATCTCATTAATTATGCAAATGAGGCACTTCAATATTCCATACTTTGCTTCATTTGCATATTTTTACACCGAACGGGTGCAGTGTAGACATAGCCTAATTGGTAATAGGCCCAGGTGCAGAACAATAATTGGTACTGGTCATAAGTGGAAAGCACAGAATATCACTAGCTCATTAAAAAATACCTTGGTACCCACTCCTCACAGATACAGACTCAGGTTCAAGAAAGGGTCTATAGTGACAGAATGATGGATAGAGATGATCTAATCAAACCACGAGGTACAGGGTGATGGGTGGTAGTGTCAGAGGATGGTAACCTGACAACGTCAGAGGGTGGCAACCTGACAATGTCAGTAGTGAGGTGTGATTTGTTTGTATCTGTATATAAGGTGGTGTCTTGGGGGGACAGTCTTTGTATGACTGGGGAGTAGTGGAAATTTCCCACTGATTGAGTCATTCCATTGTGGCAAGTACATGTGTGTAGTGGTTCAGTAGAGTCTACTGACAACTGTTACTGTACTTTACAATAAACCTGGCCTGGCACGTTCGATCCTCATCTGGTTTGTGGTCTTTGGGGGCTCTTTTGGGGGCTGCTGTGGTCATTGGGCCCACACATTGAGCACACATACAAGCAGCCTTCTGGTTACCATCATCGACAGAGCCAGAGACCTGTGAAGACACCACAGCAGTAAATCCACCTAATTACAGTATTCAACTTATAACATATTGTACTCAGTATTCTGCCCATTGCTAAAACAAAGTGTTCAATGAAAGAAATCAAATCTAGTTTTGTTCCTGTGAGGGTCATTTTTTAACTTGATGATGTGTCTTTATATATATTGTGTTTGATGAAAGCAGGATCAAGCCCCTCTCCCCATATAAGTCAATTCTTAGAACAGGATAATTCCATGTTTAGAAGAGCAGACTTGTATACCTGGGAGGGTTGCAAATACAGGCAGTCCCAGACTTACGTCAGATCCGTACCTACAAACGGGACTTTTCTCGCCCCGGAGGACGCAGGCAGCGAGACTGCCCAGATGTGCCGCGGTCCCGCCGCCCCCATCCTCCGGGGTGAGAAAAGCTGCTCCGCGTCTCCCTGGTCTGCTGGGGGAGGCCCCCCAGCAGACCAGGGAGACACAGAGCAAAGCCGCGGAGGACCTGGGCGGCGGGACCGCGGTGCGTCTTGGTCCCCCGCCCGCGTCTCCCTAGTCTGCTGGAGGGGGGGGGTGCAGGTGAGACACACACACCCCCCCTTATAATACCTATTTCCTACTAGCTAGGTTCCTTAATTACAATTAAGCCCCGCATAAATGTGTTGGCATTAAAACTGCCTCTATAATTTCCACTACTATGCCTTAGAAAAACAAGTATTAAAAGCACTGCAACTAGACAAACAACCAGAACAACAACAACAACAAAAAACGGCAAACAAAACCAAACTGATCAACTAAATGTTAAACAAAATAAATGAGCCATGCATTACATTCTGAAGGCTACAAAAGTAAAACTCATGAGCATCTCTACAAGAGATGAGTTCTGTAGGTACGTGATGTTTCTAGACAGGCTAATTACCAATGTCAGAGTTTTATCCTGAAGCTAAAAGCTGTAGCAACCTAGCTAGCATAAAATTAGGGTTGCTCTGCCCCAGGCTTGCTGGAATCAGCCGCTGATCAGTTTCAGCAGCAGCTGACTTGGGGACACCTGGGGTAGAGCAGCTGGGGTGCTGCCGGGTTGGTCCCTGCAGCGCCGAGGTGCGGCGCTGAGGGGACCTACCCGGCAGCGCCCCAGCTGCTCTGTCCCAGGCGTCCAGATTCAGCTGCCTCGGGCTTCCTGTAGTCAGCTGCTGGTCAGTTTCAGCAGTTCCGACTTAAGTACAAATTCAACTTAAGTACAAACCTACAGTCCCTATCTTGTACGTAACCTGGGGACTGCCTGTAACCAGGTTCAAATGATCAGAAATATTGTGCTCTAATTACCTTCTGAAATGAACATGCAGAGCATATGGCACGCCTTGCTATCATAGGCCTGTTCTAATTAGATTGGTTTAATTATGTAGCTCAGGGGTGTGAAAAATCCACACCCTGAGTGGCATAGTTAAGAAATCTTAAATCCTGGTGTAGCTAGTGTTAAGTGGATGGAAAGATTCAGTGGATTACATACACTGATTGAAGAACCCATCCCCTCTCTTCCTAGGTATCAGGACCCAAGCTCCAGTCTGAGTCACAACTGTAAAGTTCTTTCTGCCTAGCTATTTTTGAGTGCTAGTGTGAGTCCTGCAAGCCCGAGTCTGTCAACCCAGGCAGGGAGTCTCAGTGCTGGGACATATCCAGAGAGGCTAAGTGACTTGCACAGGTTCAGACACAAAGTCTGTTGTGAAACAGCACGTCTTAGTCATTTAAGTCCTAGGCTAATGCTTTGACCTCTGGACCATCCTTCCTCACCTAGGTCATATGAGTGATCTTTATTCATATTGCCTTCAAAAGCATTGCTTATGTAGCTAAGACAAGAAGAATTTGGCCCCATCTTTTAAAAAGAAATATATCTGAAATAACTTTAAAAACTGGACCCCTTACAAAAGCTGGATGTACCCTGCTCAGATTTTTTTTTTTTTTTTTTTTGTCTGTATGATTCTGAAAAGCAGGAACAACAGAATCCAGAGGAATTTCAGGACAGCATTTTATGCACCATAATTTCATTAGCATCATGCACTTAGTCCTAAAATATAGAGTATATACACAGATGGATTGTATGAGAGTATTGAAAATACATTGAGAAATATTGATTCACCACTATATTGATGCTGGAATTTTTTAAAGAACCAAGCCAGGCCTGCTTACTATGTCTCCAGTTGGCTGCCCCCCCAAAATGAGACAACCCACATTATAAGGAATATTTGACAACGTAAGCCAGGCTCCTCTCTTTTCTGTTCAGTGACTTTTTCCTGTAATGTCAAAATCAGTTTAGCAAGTCACAGCTGTTCCTAAAACAGCATTCCAGCTACTGATGTAAATGAGAACCCCGAAAATGAAGACCCTCTGTGGCTCTGGTATTTTAATATTGCATAAAGGCTCAGTCTTTACCCATGGGAGTTTTGCCTAGGTAAGAATGCAAAATTTGTCCCCTTGAGAGATTTATAAATGGGATGGGTTTTTAAAGTTAAATATAAAAACAAGTTACAATTATTTTAAATTGCTGCTAATGACATTTTTCAACTCAGTGAGTCAAATTCCAGTTCTCATAAAGTCACCCCTCCCAAATGAATTCTGTTGAACTCTTCTAAAGCACCTATGTTGAGGCCAGCCTGCTCCCACCCAGCTGCCAGCCTAGACTGCCAATGACAAGGGCATAAGATCTAAAGGGGAGAGGTACACAGGGGCAGGAGCTGGAAAGGTGCATTAAAATGCATATCAGCCCTGCTTCAGAATACTCCCATCCCATCCCTCCAGCAGGACTTAATGCACAGAGCATCAGCTCCTTAACTTTGGGAAAGTCAGCTCAGGATACAACAGTGTTCTGACTTTGGCTAGTTCTGTGCACATTTACGTGTGGCTTAAAGCCAAAATATGATGCTACATTATTCCTCCAAATATTTTTGTGTATTTTATAAATGCCACAGAAAATTTTGAGATGACTACATTTCTTTAGAGGAATTCAAGCAATTGGCTTGCTCCAGTCAGGAAAAATATACTTCCAAACTCAGAAGGTTTAGCTATTTCTGATGCATGTCAAACGAGCTTTTTATTTTAATAATAAGTTTTCTTTTTATTCTGTAATATGTTTCCTGTTAAGGAATGTGAAAGATCTTTAGATCCTAACTGGTAAAACTGTCCTAAGAAGACATAATTGGGTCAGGTGTGAAGTCGCTGGTATATTAATAC